TCTGATTCTAACCCAGTGGTGTCCTTTGTCTTGTTTGAAAGCCTTCTACTCTCTGCACCCTTGTTGGTATTGAGACCATGGCTGCAGTGACCAGGTCATCCAGTCAGCTGCAGGCTCTAACACTTGGTTCTGCCCTTGCTCCCCTCAGCTGTGATGCTCGTCATGGCCTCACAGTGCGGGAGTGGTGTTTCCCCATGGGGAAATGCTCTGTTGTCGTGCTGGGAATCAAACAGCATCACTGTGGGCATCACACCGGGCACATGTCGGAACTGATTATTCTCTGACCCTCCTGCTTACAATCACTATTTCTTCTTTTTCCATCTGCAGAGCACTGGCTAGGGTGCTACAACTCAGTTTCAACCGTTTTGCACCTGAGGACTGGCTCATGTCGGAATCCCATAACCACTGGGGTAGACCAGTAGTTTTCAACCATTTTCCCCCTTCTATTTTATCAGAGGTCAGCCAAGCAGTGCTAGTAGGCCACCAGAGTGACAACAGAGGGTGCTGGGTGACAGGACCTGAAGGCCTCACAGGAGCCATGCAAAGCTCCACTTCAGCACTGCTATTCAAACTTTCAAACCTGTGGACCCCACAGACCAGTATTAAAACCTCTGCAAATGGTCCCTGAGCACTGCCAGATATGGCCCCCAAAACAAAACAAAACACACTGCAAACTGATGCTGAAGAATTTACAATTTGAGAGAAAGTCTTCTCTCTCTCTCTCTCTCTCTCTCTCTCTCTCTCTCTCTCTCTCTCTCTCTCTCTCTCTCTCATTGGCTTTTAGGGTCACACCCAGTGGATGCTCAGGGTTCGCTCCTGGCTCTACACTCAGGAATTACTCCTGGAGGTGCTTGGGTGACCACATGGGGTGCTGGAAATCAAACCCATGTCGGCTGTGTGCAACCCTACCTGCTGTACTATCACTCCAGCCCCGAGAGAAAGTCTTCTTTCCAAAAGAATTTTTTTAGAGTAAAGAATCAAGCTTAAGATAAAGGAACAGGGACCAAAGCAAGAGCACAGCAGTTAGGATACTTGCCTTACCTATGGCTGACCTGGACATAATCCCTGGCAACCCATATGGTCCCTTGAGGCTGCTAGGAGAGATCCCTGAGCACAAGAGCTAGGAGTAAGCCCTGAGCACCACCCGGCATGGCCCCAAACCAAATTAAAATAAGATAAAACAAACAAAATTTTCCAGAGAAGAAATGATCTAGAAGTTGAGGAGATAATCAACAGTCACTTTGGTAACATGTCTGGTCATCATGTGCTGTACTAATTCCCTATAAAATGATTCTTGAGACCCAAGAGTCTTTGTCTAAGATTTCAGGTGCTTGCCTAGCCTAGCTCCAACGACCTGGCCAGCTGGTGTAAATGAAACCTTGTTCTCTTGACATTGATTGCCTTGGTGTGCTTGATGAAGCGAACCCCCCTTACTACGTTACCTAATCACCTGTGGCGCAGAGCTTGCCTTCTCGCCAGGTTGCTGAGGAGGAAGCCAGATGCAGGGAGGTGAGCCTGAGACAGCAGGGGGCGCTGGAGCGATAGCACAACGGGTAGGGTGTTTGCCTTGCACGCAGCCGACCTGGGTTCGATTCCCAGCATCCCCTATGGTCCCCTGAGCACCGCCAGGAGTAATTCCTGAATGTAGAGTCAGGAGCAACCCAGGTATGGAACCCCCACCCCCGAGAGAGAGAGAGAGAGAGAGAGAGAGAGAGAGAGAGAGAGAGAGAGAGAGAGAAACAGCAGGGTTCAGGGATGGACAAGGGCTCCAGCTACTTCTCTGTCATTAGCTAATGACCAAGAGAAAGTAACTAAGCCTGTCTGTGCAGCAGCTTTCCTTGGCAGTAAGTTGTGAATATTAATAAATAGAAAACAACCTCCAACAGGCTGTTGTGTGGATGAATGCAACCAGTATTTGGAAAACAGGTAGAAAAGAGCCTGGCCTGTGATGAGCATTATGTAAATATTTACCAAGAGGAGTCAAGTTATTGCAATTTAAACCCATCTCCAGACAAGAAGGCCCTAGGCTCTGATCTATTTTAGCTGTGTGGTATTCCAAGACCCCGTGAGGGGTGGGTCTGGAAAGGAAAAGCTTCAGAGCAAGAGGTGAGAAGTAATCAGCTCCCAAACCAAGGTCTGGGCCAAAAGTCCTTGGTTCTGACTCTGAGTGTAGGGGACCCAAATTTTATACCCAGAAAAGGAACACAAGGGTAGACCCTGGTCCTTCACAAAGTCGCTTTACAAATCTCTTCTCTTAAAGTCAGTTGGGGTTCTGGGGTGACCTGTTTGCAAGACTACCTTTGCATTTCACAGTTCTGCAGGATGGTGCCATTGGAAATAAGAATTCTTAACTATTGGAAGCTGGAGAGATAATACAGTGGGTAGGGCATTTGTCTTCCATGTAGACCCAAGTTTGATCCCCGGCATCCCATTGGTGTCTCATGCACCTCACAAGCAATTCCTGAGTGTAGATCAAAGAGTAACCCCTCAGCATCGGTAGGTGTGACCCCCCCCCACAAAAAATTGTTAATTACTACTCATAGTGGATGATAGTGGTTATCAGTGATTTCTTGGATTTTTCATCATGAGTTACAGCCATGGAGAAGGATAAAATTGACATTTCCAATGAGTATTTTAGTTTTACCTGTTACTGCTCATAATTGCAGAGCTAAAAATTATTAATATAATTAATGTTGATGTGATAAGAGATGGCAGGTTGAGTTGGGATTAACTGGGTAGATAACATGTTAGCTGAGACATGAAATTATATAAATTTTTTTAAGCTAGAGACCATGGCTAAAAGTCATTAGTGACTGACTTTCATACCCATTAACTATGGACAACATTGAATGCATGATCTTCCCAAGGGGGGTTTTTTTTGAGAACCATTTGCAAACTTGAGTCAGGCCCATATCTTGGGCTCATTGTTGAACTTCATCCCGAGTTTTTAATGTATGCTGCTTGGGGTGGGGCCCCAAATTTTTTATTCTAGTAAGTCCCCCGGTGATGCAGATACTGGTAGTTCTGGGACCACGTTAAGCATTACTGATTTTTTTTTAATTTTCTGCCCATACCCAGCTCAAAACTTACTCTGGCTCTGAGCTCAAGGATCACTTCTGGCAGAGCTTGGGGGACTATATGGTTCAGGTGATTGAACCCAGATCAGCCACATGCAAGGGAAGTTGCCTCCCCCACCACACAATCTCTCCTTCCCTGAGAACCGCTGATTTAAAACCCATCTCTCCTCTTTGGAAGAGCCACACCTTCACCTGTGTGGGACTGCAATCTAATTAGACTTGTTCTAAATAGGCCACCTTAATCAGTTGAATTTCCAAACCACTTTCAGCAACTTACAGACCAAGAGAGCCTTCACTTCATTTTTTCCTCTACCCTAGCAGAAAACAGGGCCAAACTTTAGTGTAGGGTTTAAAGGAAAATTCAAAGTTAACTGTAGAGTTAGATTCATGTTTGTGGTGTTTTGATACATCTTGAAACACTTTAAGATGTCTTGATCAAAGAAATAATACAGGATTGCCTTACAAGCAGCTGACCCCAGGTCCATTCCGTGCACCCCATGTGGCCCCCTGAACCCCACCATGAGTGGTCCCTGAGCACAGGGCCAGGAGTAAGCCCCGAGCACTGCCCAAAAAAATAATATTTTAATAAAATTATTGAAGTCTATCCATGTAGCGTTCTTTCTGGGGAGTTCTTGAATGTGCAAGCTGAGAGGTGGTTACCAGTAGATGGCGCTCTGAGCCCATTCATGACTGCTAGGATGGGCAGGGGAGTGGGGTGGAGATTGAGGGGTGGGGATTAAGGCAAAAAGTGCAGGGGAAGGTGCTTGCTTTAAATCCTCAAAGTAAGGCCTTCTCACCCACTTGTCATAAAATAGCCCAAGATACACGTCTTGGAAAATCGAAGTGTCAAGCTCAGCATCTTTGCCACATTTCAAACTAGGTAATTACCTTCTCTCCCAAAGGGAGTCTGTCTTATATATTTGTGTCCTTTCTAGGTTACAGGTTTCCCAAAGGCAATGATCTTGCCTTTCTTCCATTCCGTAAAACGCTGAAGTGAAACTCACTTTTGACAATAACAATTTAATTATTCTACAGTCCTCTGAGCTTCAGGATGAGCTGTTACATAATTGCCAATAATAGAGAGACTTGCCTGCCCAGCGCAAAACACAAGTTTTCAGTTGACCTAAAAGTAAATTGCTTATTTACTTCTCTGAAAACCCATTTCCTGCCACCCCAAATTGTCAGTCATTATTCAAAAAAAAAAAAAAAGAACTCTGCACTCTAGTCTGCCACCTTTTTATTGTCTGTGGAGGTTTCTGTTTGTATTTACCACACACAACAAATAGCTTGATATAATCATCTAAGATAATAAAATAGTTGAGCAGTTTGTTTTTAGATTTACATTTGTATAGAAACAATCTATGGAATTCCCGGCCTCCCAAGCTAAGGTGTCTAGAAACAGTGAATGTCTCAGCTATAAATAATTGTTTGGTAAAAAGCTGCCGGTTCCCTCCTGAAATCGGTCTCCACGCACCTTCCCTCAGGGTCCAAATCTCCGGGTCTTGGGAAGGTCCCTGTCCTTCTGTTAGCCAGAGGGATTGGGCTGGAGCGGCTACAGAAGACGGGATGAACAGAAACTGCTGGGGCGTCTCACTGACCCTCACATTTTCTGAGGGTCAACGTCTCTGCAGTATGACTCCCTGTCTATAAAGGCGAGGGGCCATCCAGAGAGCCATGTGTCTGATGCCCCCAAACGCCCCCTTCCTTCTTCACTAACCATGTCAGTCAGTCGCTACAGACTGGCCGTGGCTACCGTCCAGATGTTCTCCCTGAAGGCTGATCCTCCTGTTACATTTCAGTCTCATCCCTGACATGATGTCACTTAGATGCTGAGTCTCGGTGCTCAATTAGGGTGTACCATCCCCTAAGAAATGCCTCAAGCCCTCCCCCACCCCCATCCCGCCCCCCACTCAAACCCCCAAAGTGCCTTAGAGGGAAGACGCCCCCGCAGAGGCTGTGACTCCCAGGAAACGCCTAGATCATCCCATTGATTTTAGTCCACTCGTAGATGTCCTGCTCGCACACGATGTCGGAGTTGATGAGGAGGTACCGGTCACCCACACAGAAATGCTTCTGACAGGCGGCACATTTGAAGCACTCCAGGTGATACACTTTGTCTTTCACCCGCATGGTCATCTCATAGGCACGGATCCGCTTGTCACAGGACGCGCAGAGACCATCTTGGCCAAACAGCCTGCAGAGAAGAGAGAAATGAAGATGACGGAGGCAGAGACATGATGGGACTGACCGCCTTCAGGAAGGGTTCCAGAAAATTTCCAAGATGCAGGAAGCCGAGGAGAGCTGAGGAGTCTCTCTTCTAAAAGGAAGGAAGTCTCTCTGGGATAGAGCTGCAATCCACGACGTGTGTGTTTGGCGAGTCACCACTGGGCTCAGTAGTCTCCCAGCCTGTCTCCACCCCTCAGTGGCTGGAATCTTCCCTCCTCAGGAAAAGATCATCAGCTGCAGGGTTTCAAGAGGACTGACTGGTGTGAACTACAAAACAGCCATTGGTCAAAAAAAATTTTTTGGGGGGGGGTCATACGTGGCAATGCACAGAGGTTACTCCTGGCTCTGCACTCAAGAATTACCCCTGGCGGTGCTCAGGGGACCATATGGGATCCTGGGAATGGAACCCCGGGTGGGCTGTGTGCAAGGCAAACGCCCTACCAGCTGTGCTACTGCTCTAGCCCCGCATTGGGTCAAACTTTTGGTGGCCCCTCAGAGAGAATGGACTGAGTCGGCAATAAAAGAGACCTATGGGGGGGGGGGTGGCTCCCAAATCACATCATGTCTATAGTCCTGAGCCCTGCCTGTACAGTGGGTGTGGTCCTGAATGCCTCCATCGCTACCAAGATCATCAGCTAACAGGGGCCCACTTTCTGGGTGGTGAAGGGGAGTTGGGTCAAAAAAAAAAGACCTCGGTGTAGTACATGAGCCCCCAGAGATCAGGACACTCAGCATCTCTCCACATGGAATGGGGGATGTCACACGCTTCCTCACTGCCCTGTGGGCATGAGTATCTGGAGAAACTGCTCTTCCGTCTTTGAAATCAAGACTCAGCAAAGTCTCGGCGGCACGTTCCCTTATTTTAAGCAATATTCAGTGTCTGGGAGTGAGGGGGTGTTGTGGGGGGGGAGGGGGGCAAGGGGACTGCGACTTGGCAGAGCCTGAGGTTGGGTTCACAAAGTCCTGTCCGAGGAACAGAAGCACTGGCCTCCCCTAGGGACTTTGAGAAATGCAGTGTCTTGGGGCCCCCTGACAAGAGACCCTTGGAGTGGGGCACAGGGGAGGATGAACTCCACATCCGTCTGTGTGCGGATGAACCTGCCCAGTTGAGTCTTGCACAGGCTGAAGCTTGAGAGTCAGCCTGCCAAGAGTGAAAGAAGTATTGGGAACAGAAGCCCAGGACTCAGAGGCTAGGGTGAGTCTGAGTTCCCACACGACACTGGGGAGAAAGAACTCAGCCTCTTTTGAGCTTGTGAAACAGCGGTGACGTCGCCGAGAAACCCTGACGTCACCAGGCAGTTAGCAGGATCAAATGAAGTCTGGGAAAGCACCAATGAGGAAGAGCGAGGAACAAGTCCATGTCTTAACAGTCATGAGCTAGGGACCAAGGCCAAGCACCAACGGCCCAGGGCTGAGCCAATGAGGCCTGTGTTTTAACACATCTCAGGCACGCTCCCAACCGCAGCAGTCAGGCTAGCTGACGTTATTTTCCCATAAGCCTGACAACGTGGCCAAGTTCTTCCCATGTTAAACCTTCCGGACCATCTCAATGTTCTCTCTTACCCAGAACTGATTATTCACTTCAGAACAACACAGAATCAATTGACACATTCTCAGAGACTACAGGGGAAGATAACGGTGGTTGACAAATTCTAGAACATCTGGAAAAAAATTAATGGACTCAGGAAGTTGTGGCCTGTGGGTAGAACGCTCATTATTAGAGGCAGGGCCCACTAATTTCCCTGAGAATCCTGCTCTCTATTTGAAGATCTCGGAGTGTTTTCAAAGTACCACCAGGGAGCAAACTCATTAATGGAGGGGGAGAACACTTTATCCCAACATAACAGATGGCGGAGCCGTAGGGAACTGCCACCTCAGAGGCTGGAGAGTGGAAAGACGGCTCTGGTTTGCTGACTGCTCAGTAAGCTGAGTTTGGGTCGAAGCAAGGAGATGCGGCTTGACAAGCCCACGTGGAACGAATCCAATGGCCTGGGGTATGAGAGCCTTAAGGAAGGAGAGCATTTATTAAAGGGAAGTTGGGGGGTAAATTTCCAACGAACACCAGGCAACTGGTGGAGAGACGAAGGGAGGGCACTGAGGAAACAAGCGCGGGTAAAACATTACCTCTGAGCCGGTGACCCGGCACCCCAGGGCAATGCCAGAAGTCTCCTTGTTTCTGGATACCTGCAGTCCCTCCACGCTCAGGCATTCTGAGATTCTATATTAACAGTAACAGCAAGCTGGCACTTGACTTGCACATTCGCATGGGACACCCAGAACCCTGGTCTTGAGCTGGGTATTCTAGAAGCAGACCCTGAGTGGGAGTTGGAGCCAGGCAAAGTGGTGACCCCAGGCCGAGCATCTGCAACAAGCTTCCGCCTAAGCCCAAAGGGGTGCAGGTTATGTCTCCAAGTCTCCCGGACTCTAGGTGAGGCTGAAGGGTTCTGATGCTTCAGCAATAGCAGCCACTGGGCAATGTCCACTGGGGACCGGGGCCGGAGGCATTGTTCTGGCTCTAACAGATATAGAAATTTGACCCAGGGCTGGAGCGATAGCATGGCGGGTAGGGCGTTTGTCTTACACCCAGCTGACCTGGGTTTGATTCCTAGCATCCCATATGGTTCTCTGAGCAGCGCCAGGGAAATTCCTGAGTGCAGAGCCAGGAGTAACTCCTGTGCATCGCTGGGTGTGACCCAAAAAGAAAAAAAAACACACCAAAGTTTGACCCAGTAGCTGTTGGGCTGCCAAAAGTTTAACCCAGTAGCTGTTGAGAGAAAAACCACAGGACATGGGGTGTGGGGTGCAAGACGTGTGGGGTGCACACAAAAACAGCTCCAAAGGGGGTGAAAGGGGTTAGGGGTTGCTGGAACACTGGAGACAAGGCCCCAGGATCGGGCCCATAGCTTCGGGCTCTGCATGGAAGTGTCTCTTGAATATATCTAAAGGCTGCGTGTCCAAGAGAGGACCGTCCTCTGGCAAGTGAGCCCCTGGACGTTCGCAGGAAGAGAAGTAGCCGAGGGGGAAGCAGGAGTGAACCTGGACCCAGGACCCACCTGCCAGAGCCTCAGATACCTCTGAAGGGCGGCTGCAAACCAGAAAGGAGAGAGAGTAATCAAGTGCCCTGCTCACAGACCATCCCGGACCAGAAACGCTCCCTCTCCTCTGTCAAGAGGTGTCAAGGCTTAAGCTCTCTCAGGCCCACTTTAATAACAATAATATAAATATTAAAAGATAGCCGGAGACGCCGGCACTAACACAGAGCTAATTAACATGTTGCCTAGGAATGTAGCAGGGAGAAGAATTATTTCATGTCACCAAGACACAAGTTAATTAACATTGGATTCTCCCAGACTATTTTTTTTCCCCTCTCCCTTTTAAAAATGGAAAAGATTAACAAGCCCAGGCAGCCCTGAGCTTATTCTTGAATGTTATATAAAGCCGCGGAGATAGGGCGATGCTGGGCTCTTTTGACCTTACTCTAGCTGCACTTCATTTAATAAGATTCCAATGATTTGACAGGGAGGCACTGCGAGGGCCCGATGGGAATCATTTACCCCGTCTGTTTTCTGCACTGACTTGGCAAATGGGGAGCGAGCACAATCAGCTCTCTCTCTTAAGCCCGGTTCTATTTTCTTTCTTGTAACTTGAAGAAGGAAAAAAAAAAGACAATTGACCAAAATTAGAATCCTGATCATTGAAAAACCCTACTTCTTTTCTCACCAAGTATGCAAAGACTTACCAGGGAATTTAGAAAGGAAAAAAATATATATATATGAAAGCTTATTCTATCAGTCTCTGGGTAAACAGATAAGCTTTCTTCGCCATAGAACTGCCTGCCGTTTTCCCTCTTTTTTAATGGGAAATGCTGAGGGCAGGTCTGGAAGAGCTGGCGGGGCAGTCAAGGGCACTGGAGCCCACCGCGGCTTCCGTGGGCTGGGTGGGGTTGCTATTCGAGGCTTCGGATGCACTGCAAACCCTCTGCTACTGGGAAGATGGCAAAAAAAAAAAAAATCCTGACAGCTACACACTTGAGCAGAGCTGACAGGAGAGGGCATGGAGGTACTGCCACAGCAGCAAATATGAAATTGGAATGCTAGAACATTCCAGGGAGCAGAAGCACTCGTATCAAGCACCAAACATTCATGGGGCTGAGTCGGGCTGGAGCCTCAGACAGGGTTTCGGGTCTGGTCCCACCTGGAGTTGGGGCGCTCCTCATCTGTTCGCTCTTTGTTCAACAGGGGAACAATGTCAGGCCACGGAGGGCGGGTTCCAGGAGCGGGCCGCGCCAGGCACTTGGATCACTATTCTGCCTAGTCCTTACTTCCTCCTTGGATGCAGGTGCTAGTGTTTATCCCCTCACAGGCGAGGCAACCAAGGCTCTTGCCCAACATGCCTGAGCCAGAAGGCAGAGATGCTGGGCCTCTGCCCCTACCATGTGGAGGGCAGTGCGCTCTAACTTTCACTTCTCATCCTGTACCAGGGTGTCCTTCAAAGTAACCGCACAGGGGTTGGAGCAATGCACGGAGGTAGGGTATTTGCCTTGCACATGGCTGACCTGAGTTTGATTCTCAGCATACCATATGGTCCCCAGAGCACCGCCAGGAGTAATTCCTGAGTGCAGAGCCCTGTGCATCATCAGGTGTGACCCAAAAAGAAAAATATATATATACACACATTGGGGGGATTTAGATGTTCCCCTATGACTCCCACCTTCCCTATTAGAACAACTCACCCTGCATACTTCTCCCTAACCAGGCCTCTTCAAGGGAGCCTTTAGTCGGGACCCTGTGGCTCTTTCGTTCTGTTTTGGGGGGATCAGGAGTGGGATTTTTGTTGTTGCTATTGTCTATCTGTTGCCATGGTATGCCCAGCCTGGTTCCCTGTGAGGGCCAGGGATGGAATCCAGGGGTCCAGCCCTGTGAGCCATCTCTCCTGGTCAGACTCTTGTTCTTAGAGCCTGAACTTTGGCCACGAAGGACTAGAGCCCCAACAACAAGCTTCTCAACAGAAGACGTACCAATTACACTTCTGCGGCCTTCGGGAGAAGGGCAGGGTCAGATTCGAAGTCAGGGGAGACCCAGCAGCCCTAGCCAGGCTCCACCCATGGCCTTGGGGGGAGGGAAAGAGTGGGTACCTGAGATAGTCTCTCCGGCACAGCTTCCGGCCCAGCTTGTAGTAGAGGCGCCGCCCCACCTCACCCAGGCGGCACCCGCAGAGGTCACAGCTGAGGCAGTCCTCGTGCCAGTACTGGTCGATGGCCTTCAGGAAGTAGCGGTCCCCGATGTTCTGCTGGCAGCCGCCACATGTCAGCAGGGATGGTGGGATCTGCAGCACCTCATCCACTGGCTCCCTGGAAAGCAAGCCACCAATTAGGGACAACCTGTTCTCACCAAGACGGGGGCTACCACATTCCTGACTCCGGGGGGGCAGAAAACTGGGATGGGGGCTCCGAGTCCCACAGGGAACCTCACCGACTGGCCTTGATGTGATTCCAAGAGACAGGCCCAGGCAGCTGTGGGTTAGTGCTGGAGATCACCCCAATTTCCCGTGGCACCCAGAGGCGCACCTGGGCAGCTGTAGGTGGCACCCTGACCCATAGCCTAGCACCCCTCTGGCCTGCCCTCTTTCCCCCACCTCCTGTTCCCCTCTGTATTCACAATTATTCTCTCTCTTCCTCTAGACCCAGAGTCCGAGGGCAGACCCAAACTCCAGAGGAGACACTCAGTGCTGAACTAGCCGGTTGTTAGAAGCAGAGAGACAGAACAGAGCATAGGATGCTCGCCCTGCATGTGGCCAGCCTCGGTTTGATCCCCTATATCACATATGGTCCCCTGAGCACAGAGCTAGGAGGTAAGTCCTGAGCATTGCTGGATATGGCCCCCAAACAAACAAAAATTATTAAATCAAAGGATTCCTTGCTGCAGGACAGCCAACTACCCAGAGCTCTAGCTCAGCCAATTGAAGCCACACACATCTTCCCACTGTCAACCCTTCTGAGCTGCACAGGGGAGAGAAGAAAAAAAGGACTAAGTGATATTTTAGATCCTTTTCTCTTCCAAAATCAAATTTCTACCAGACTGTAACAGGAAATCTCATTATTTTGCCCTTAACAAAATTCCACATTCCCTTCTTCCTGAAGGAACCCTTGAAGATAAGTTCCAGGTGCTAAGGTCATTGTTAAAACTTACAAAGAACAGTAATGAGGCTTTTTGACACCCCCAAATTTTTACAACAGCAACAACATTTTGGAGATGTTTGGTTGATTTAGGAAAGGAAGTAAGGGGGGAGGTAGAGTTGAAGAGAGAGGGCAGTAAAACGCCCCTAAGGCGAGTGTCCAAAATGAAACTGTGATGTATGTTTTTGCATTAAAAAGTCTGACAGTTTCTCCAGTTCACTCTAATTAACTGAAATCTGTTACTTTTATGTTACACTTAAAATCAATCATGTTATTTGTCAAAAGAAAATAAAGGGCCGGAAGAAATTATTCCAGGAACAAACAGATGGCCTAATATGGAAAACTTAACACCTGTTGATTTATAAACCATGATCAAGGGCTCTTCTGAGCCTCAAAAACAAACCTTTGTTTTCGTGTTTTAATTATTTATGTAGCGATAGCACAGCTGTAGGGCATTTGACTTGCATGCAGCCAACATGGTCAACCCGAGTTCGATTCCTCCGCCCCTCTCAGAGAGCCCGGCAAGCAAATCGATGATCAACGGGAGGGCCTTTACCTTTAATTATTTATGTGTATTTTTTCCAATTCCGGGGGTAGGGTACTATGTTTGGGGATAAAATTCGAACCAAAGTCAGCCCCATGCAAGGCAAGCACCTTAACCCTTATACTATCTCTCTGGTTCAAATCGATTAGATTTTTTTTTAAGAGATCTGGGCTGGGAAGATGGTTCAAAGGGCAGGATCATGTACTTTACAGCCTGAAGTCCCAGGTTCAATCCCTCGCACTGCATTGCCCCTTGAACAACCAGATGGAACCCCCAACACTGAGCCAGGTGCAGCCTTCAAGCATGGCTGGGTTTGGCCCAAAAACCTCCCATCCCCTACAAAGAAGAAAAGAAAAATAAACAATAAAAGAAGCTGGCTCCAGTTGTGAAATTTCCAAAGAGTTAACCCCTCACTACAGTAATAGTGTAAATCCACATCTCCTGTTTCCAACTGACACTAATTTACCACATCTCCCTCCAGCCTGAATGCTGGGTACCCATGGACCTCAGCACTCACTGCTCTTACGGTCACTGTTGAAGTCAGGCTTATCAGTGTTTATGGTACACCCAGACAGCTCCAGGTGACTCAGTGTGAAGGTTGCACTTCTCTATGAATATTCAGAAATTCATAAATTCAGAAACCAAGCCCATGCTTTGCAGAGTACAAGGATCTTCCATAATACTCTTTGTCTTCAGAACCACTACCCAGAGAAGTGATACCTAAACCAGTTTTCTCTCAAAACTGGGATTGGAGAGATCCCAGCATAGTGGTTGGGGAGCTTGACCTGCATAAGACCAACCTGGGTTCAATCCCTGGCATCTCATATGATCTCCCAAGACCACAAAGAGTAATCTCTGAGCATCACTGGCTATGGCTCCGAAACCCAAATATACATAGATGTATCAACTATAGCACTGTCCTCTCGGGTGGGCACCAGTAACGTCTCCACTGTAGGACTTGTTGTTACTGTTTTTAGCACACCGAATATGCCACAGGGAGCTTGCCAGGCTTTGCCGTGTGGTCAGGATGTTGTGATATCAGATACTGTGATATCAGATAACTGAGTGCTAATATAAATGCATATAAATATATATGTATATAATTAAATATCAAAACTTCAGGGACTGAGGAGATAGTTCAGCTAGGTGGGTCATGTGCTTGCCTTGCATGAGGCTGACCCAGATTTTATCCTCAGCACGTAAGGTTTCCTGAGTGTCCTCAAGCATGATTTCTGAACACTGAATTAGGAGTTGGCCATGAGCACCTCTGAGATGACAGAAACAAACAAGAAATTTAAGACTTTTGGGCAGGGATCTGGCTCACTGATGAAACATATGTATGTCTTGGGGCTGGAGCAATAGCAGAGCGGGTAGGGCATTTGCCTTGCATGGGGCCGACCCAGGTTCAAGTCCCAGAATCCCATCTGGTGCCCTGAGCACCTCCAGGAGTAATTCCTGAGTGCAGAGCCAGGAGTAACTCCTGAGCATCGCCAGGTGTGACCCAAAAAGCAAAAAACAAACAAACAAAAGACATATACATGTCTTGCATGCATATGACATGGGTTCAATCTCTGGAGAGATGGGGTTCGGGGGGATAAAGACTTACAGTTTACAGAAGTCACTAAATCTTGGCCTTTCTTTGTTTCTCTGTGTTCCATATAAGCACTTCCATTCTCTCTCCTTCTGAAAAATACTCCCTCCAGCACATTCACCTCCACTAACTCCAGACTGCATCTCTTCTCACGGCCCCTGGCCTGTACTTTGCACTTCCAAAGCCACTCATGGACCCTCTACCACACTGGCTTCCCTGATGCTGATGGTGCCAACCAACTGTGAAGGGGGAGAATTTGCACTTGGCTGGTGCAAAACTGCCTGGAATCCAAATGAACTGCTCTTATTACTCAGGGAGGTGGTAGGGGCCACAGATTGCCTGGTAAGGCAAATATCCACGTGCATAAATTTCTGACTCTTTTCCTACCTAAATGTTTCATTTGCATGTGTCTAAGCAAGTTTCTCTGGGTAATTTGACGTCAGTCAGAATGACCCAAGCTGGCTCTGAGTTAAGTGTACAGTAAAACAGCGGGAGAGTTGTCTGCAGCCGAAATGGAAAGCAAACGAGCTACTATGTGGCCTGAGATGAAATCTGAACAGACGGGAGACGTTAGCTCTATCTTTATGTATTTAATTATAATATCATATTATCTTTGTTACATGATGCAAGCCAAAATCTGAGTGGGACTCATCTTCAAATGGGATTTTATATCCTCCCAGAGCCTATCTGAATATTACACCTGAATATCACCTCTGCCAGATTTCACAGATAATTTCTTGACGATTTCCAAGGGGGCACAAGGCGGGATGTGCAGCAGTAATCATTCAGCTAGCTGGGCCACCTTCAATTACAGCCTGTCTTCTTTGGGTACCCGGTGAGGCAAAGGATAAAGGAGGTGAGCATCCTTCAGTAAGTACCCGCTGTGTTATGAGGATAGGATGTTTCCATTTTCTAATCTCAGTGAAAAAGCACAAACTTCAAAAAGATCAAACTTCCTTCAGGGAACGGAAGCTGCCAGATTTATCTTCTAATAAAATGTTCTAGTGAGTTAGTTCTGTGGATCAGAAAGGCATGAGGGCCGAAATCACCCCATTCTCTCTCTTATTGTATTACTACGGCCTTGCCCAGACTCTGAAAACTCAGGGCTAAATTGCAATTCTTGGTTCGTTTTTTATAAAAAAAAGTGAGCAAACCACCCTTTAAGCCCATTGTTTGCAAAGATATATTTCTTTCAAGAGGAATGTTCCTTTTCTTCCAAGAATTTGTTTAAGGAAGCTGGATTTTTGTTAAAACAAGCCTAGCTCCTATTAGAACGGGTATCTTAACCTTCAGGACTGAATAGTGATGTTTATATTCTCATTGGATCATGGTACTTCCTGTGTTTTATGAGAACATGCTGGGCTTTTATGCTGGTAACTGAGGGTAAAAGCCAGGTATATAAACACCATGAAAAGCTGAAATGAGGGCTGGGGGAGGGGAGGGCGACTTCAATCAGGAAAGCACAATTCTTTTTAAGGCAGAAAAAGAAAACAAAACAAAACAAATGCCTCTTAAAAGCACAAATGGACAAGTCATTAACCAGCTCCTTTGGTCTGTGTAACAAATCCCTTCAAAGGGATTAGATGGGAACTTCAAAGGAATAAAAATTCTCAAAACCAGACAGCTAATGAATCTTAAAAGGGCATTTGCGTTGACGGGAAAATGATATCTCAGACAACCCTTTCTCACCAGGTTAGCACTGAAGAATGGGTTGGAGGTGAAACATTTCAGAAAACCAGTAAGGGGATCAGAAAACCAATGTGGCCACCTCTCCGGGCTCTGGTTCCCGCACCCCAAACCCTTCTGAGGTTGTGGTTAGAGCTATGAGACTTTCCCCCAGAAAGAATTAGCTAGAAGCAGGTTAACTTGGGGGTTCACAGTCCCCGTAAATGGATCCCGTGGGGGAAAGGGGAGCGCGCAAAGACAGATCAACTTCGGGTTCCGTGGCCCTGAAGTCTCAGGAGACCAAAGAGAGCTCAAGGTGGGCGCCCGCGCACACCCCAACCCCTGCCCCACACACACCCCGTCTGGTCGCAGGCGCTGCCCGCAACCTCTCTACCTGCGCACGGGAACGTAGGGGGGCTCCGAAGGTCTTCACTTGGCATATCCCCGCTTTCTTGGACCAAATGGACAAAGAGAAGGGGGGCACCCAGGAGAAGCGAGCAGGGGCGAGGAGCAGATTGAAGTCCCGGAACGCTCTGGAGACTGTACCCGCACCTCTCCGAGCTCCCCTGTGCTTGCTCGCGCGTAAACTTTGCAACCCGCGGTGGTTTTGGGGAGCGGCCCCCCCACCCACCCCCAGAGAGCCAGGAAGGGCATCCCGGGAGGTTCGGGACCCATCTCCACTCGCTGCAACCCCTTCTCCCCCGGAGCCACCCCGAGCAAGTGCGAGGTGGTGGTTTTGGGGGGGAATCCCGGGACACACTACCGGGGGGGTGCAGGGCCACACGCGGAGAGGGGGGTTGAAGGGTGGGGGGGTTCGGGGGCGCACACTTACTCCGACGGATCCAGGCTCTTCCTCTCGATGGCCGAGGACATTGGGGAGCGAGGTGGGGTGCCAGGGGGCGGGGGCGCTCCCTTTGTGGCGCGGGGCTGGCCGGCGGCCGGGGCTCGGACCGCTCCCTCGGGGGCTCGTGCGCCTCCTCTTGCAGCCGCGCTCGGGCGGCGAGCTCGGCCGGCGGCGCTCAAGGACGGTCGGCGCGCTGCCTTCAAACGCCGGAGAGAGAGCAAGAGAGCGAGAGAGGAGAGAGAGAGAGAGAGAGAGGGAGAGGGAGAGAGGGAGAGCGAGCGGGTCACGGCCGCGGCCCAGGCGGCCCCCGCGGCTCCCGGCTTAACCTTCCATCCCCGTCCCGCTCGCGCCGCCCGCGGGGATGCTGCGCGCCCGCCCGGCCGGGGAGGGGGCGGCGGCGTGGGGGGCGGGCAGCGGACCCCGCGCCGCTCCCCGGGCGCCCTCCTCTCTCGGGAAGCTCTATTTTCGCTCCGCTTCCCTCTGTCTCTGGTTTCATTTCCTTTTTCCTGATCGCGATTCAAATACAATAGAAGGAAATCACATTTAAAGAGACAGCTGCCCAGTCCCCCCCCTCACCCCACCCCTCCTCTGTTCTCCCGCACCACCACCTTCTTTTTTTTTAAACCCCCTGCTCTTTTATTTTATTTTTTTATTACTATTTATTATTTTATTTTAACGGGGCTCCTGGGGATTCGCGATCGCCACCGCAGCCGCCGCAGGACCCACTTCGCGTCTTAAAGGGGCCGGCGGCGCGCGCGCGGGGATCGCGCTCCCGGGAGACGGGGCCGGCGCTGCGGTTCGCGCCCTTCTCCACGCGCGCCCCCCCCCCCCCATCTCCTTCGCCGCCGCCGCCGCGGATCCCCTGCGCTGGGACGGACCCCGAAAGTCGGCGGCGGGCCGCTCGGGTGGGGGGTTGAGGGGAGGTGGAGAGAGAAGGCCGGGGTGTGGAAGGAGCACGTACGGAAAGGAAGCGTTTCGAGGGGCCCGGGGCGCCCGTCCCGGGTCCGAGGCGGTGCCAGGTCCGCGGTCCCCGCTGCGCGCCGGTGCCGGAGCGGTCTGCGTGCGAGCTGGGACCGCGCGCTGGCTGCGGGCGCCTGAGCAGTGCCGGGGGCGGCTAATCCCCGGGGTGGGGGGTGGGGGGGTGTGCGGGCCGGGGCGGGGGTGGGGGGGCGCGGTTGGGAGGGACCACGCAGATCTGAGCTTCCCCTCCATCTGCTGGCGGCACGAGTCTCTCCCTCTGCACCTTTCCCAGGGCCGGATTCCTGCGGGTCCCCATTTGCAAAAGTGCCCGGAGGACTCGGCCCGCAGCGGGAGCCTTTGCAAAGAGCGAGGTTCTTGGGGACACTCACGCCCCGAGTCCGGGGCCGGGAGAAAAGCCGGGCCTGATTTGGGAGGAGTTTGGGTTTCCCTCCTTGCAACCTCTAACCCAAGTTCTAGGTGGAAAGCTGGGAGTCGAGGCGCAGAAACAGAAGGGGTAGGTGGAAAGTCTGTTCTTCAGCAGAATTGAAAATAAAACAAAACAACTTTTTTTTCTCTCGATCCTCATCAGGGCTCCAAGAGAACGGTCGCATTCAGGCATCCTGAGAAGCCTGCCTGAGCCCACCCACCCTGACAGGTGTGGGTTCTGTCAGAAGCTTCGTTTTTTCCTGCTCAGGTCAGATACTCTTGGTTCTTCACAAGTGTAACCAGAATTTCATGACAAGCACGCTCTTGTCATTCCCGGCTCTCCGATGCTTCGTTTCCTAATGGGTGTGATTAAAATGGATGTATGGGGCATGGGAGGAGAACTTAAGAGCAGTTTGGGGTCCAAGTCAAGGCTTTCAATCTATACAGACTCTCCATGGTCAAAGATAGCTCCAAAGGCAGTGAGCATGAGGTAGGCCCAGGTTCAAAACCTATTACCTGACAAACTGGGAACTGGGCCAAGGCACCACTAGGTGTGGCCCTAAAGCATAACAAAACAGAAAAAGGAAACTAGCGGGCCAAAATGATACACAGGGGGTAGAGCACTTGTCTCCCACAAAGCTGATGGTAATTCAACCACCGGCATCCGATATAGACCCTAGACCCGTGAACCCACTAGGAGTGATCCCCGAGTGCAGACCCAAGCTAGAGGAAGCCCAGAAAAGTGCTGGGTGTGGCCCCAAAACAAAACAAAACAAAAAGAAAGCTAGAATTTGTGGGTCAGCCTGAATTATGTAACTTAGAGTCAGAAATGAAAATAAATATATAGATTGTGATGAGCAGCTTGCCTGCTTCAAAACCAGTGTGGCAATTAACTGCCAGGAATTTGGAATCAGTCTGGAAGGGCCTGCTTTGGGCACCTTCCATCAGCTGGAGGTGACCCAGGAAGTCATCCTGTGTGAGAAGGCAGGATTGTGTGCTGTCTGGAGTCAGTCTGCCCGTGTCCCAGCCCACTACTTCCACTACCCATCCCACCTGTGTCAACTGGATAACAGCAAACACGGAAAAATCTGCTCTCCAAACTCCTCCACCCTAAGGGGAGGCGCTCATTGCATAGGTTGTTTTGAGGACTAAGCAAGTGGTTGCCTGCAGAGTAAGGCCCAACTTGCTATGGATGAGGGGGTAATAACAGGTAAAATGAAACGCTTGAAAAGCAATTGGCATATAATAAGTGCTCAAAAATGGCAGCTGCTGTGTTATGGCCAAAACACATTATTGGGAGAATTTTTAAAGAGCGATAGCACAGCGGGTAGGGCGTCTGCCTTGCACGCAGCCAACATGGCCGACCCGAGTTCGATTCCTCCGCCCCTCTCGGAGAGCCCGGCAAGCTACCGAGAGTATTCGATATGCCAGACACAGTAACAACAAAGTCTCCAATGGAGACGTTACTGGGCCCGCTCGAGCAAATTGACGATCAACGGGAGGGCCTTTACCTTTACCTTTAAAATTAAATTTCAAGGAGTTGGAGCCATAGCACAGCAGGTCGGGTGTTTGCCTTGCATGTGGTCAACCTGGGTTCAATTCCCAGCATCCCATATGGTCCCCTGAGCACTGCCAGGAGTAATTCCTGAGTACATGGGCCAGGAGTAAACCCTGTGCATCGCTGGGTATGACCCAAAAAGAAAAAATAAATAAATAAATTTCAAGGTAAAATCAGGGTCCGAAATGAGAATTTCCCAGCCAGATTTTTAAAAATGATTTCCTGCTTTTAAGAAAGGGCTGGAGAGATAGCACAGCGGTAGGGTGTTTGCCTTGCGCGCAGCCAGCCCGGTCGAGCCGGGTTCGATTCCCCTCTCGGAGAGTCTGGCAAGAGTATCTCGCCCATATGCCAAACACAGTAACAAGTCTCAAAATGGAGACGTTACTGGGCCCACTTGAGCAAATCGATGAACAACGGGAGGACAGTGACAGTGACAGCTTTTAAGAAAGTAAGCAGAGCAAGCCCCTTCATCCCACCCCCTATGACTCCTAATGTAAAAGTGTTTTCCATTTTCATGCTCACTATCTTGGTAACTAGATGATATGTTTTCCTCTGCCTGCTTTTATTAAATCGGATAGCTTGCTACCTTCTTCACTACAGTTTTTCGTGTGGCTCAAGTTACTTGTTAACTATTTTCTTGGGTTCCAGGAGCATGTTAAGTTTCCTTTTAATAATATGCTCTGTCTTGACCTCAGTATATAAGGAAAGAGAGATTATTGCTTATGCCATTGGGTCAGTTTCTTATCTTTCACAACTCTTTGGGGAGAACTTCCTTAGAGAAAGTGAATATTTGAAATAGTATCTTAAGATTTCAATTTCACACATAGTGGTTGTAAGAAATAACTGCCAACCAGTGGGATTTGGTTTCTATTCAACAGGCAATTAAATTGCTCAAATTTAAGTTTAATATTTAGAGTCAAGTCTCAGAATTTGTTTTTAATATGAATAATTTTAAAGCAATTATGACCTTATTTAATCCTTCCCTAGCATCTCGGTGCTTTATACAGAAGAGGGATTCTGTGGTTGTGTGCATTGGAAATGATTTTTAAGAGTTGCAGAAATCTTTTCTTGATCCTTATCCAGTGTGGCTACAATTTAATTCCTTCTCCCTGTAAATCTTAAATATCCCAAATTTTTGAAATTTTACAAGGTCTTCCTGAGTGTCACTATCAGAAGACTGAAACTGGTACCACATGGATTCATTTTTTTCCTATTGGCATTTCCTATTTATTCCTTTGTTTTTTTTTCCCCTTATTGTTTCATTTTGGTTTGGGGGATACAACCTCCAAAGCTCAGGGGCTTACTCCTGGAGCTATGCTTAGGGATGCTCTTGGCCATGCTCAGGGAGCCATGTGGTACTGGAGATCAAACAGGGGTGGGGCACATGCCAGGCAAGCACCTTACCCCCTTATCTCTCTGGTCTTCTATTCATTTTTTTTCTTTTTTTACTTATTATATTTACATTTGTTTTCCAGGGAAGAGGGGTTTGAAGTAAGACTAAATGACTTTGCTAAAACGGCCTTGAAATAGAAACAAAAATGCAAAACAGCATGCGGGAAATGCCAAGAATGACAATTTACTTGTTCCCCCCCCCCCCCCTTTAGAAACCAAGTTGCATCATGTATCTGTTGGTTGTGACATTCACATACAGGAACAACAACCCAAAAAGGATGCCTTGCTCTGGTTGTAGTTACTGTGCAAAATTCTTCCTACTCCTCAACAGTCACAGGTATCTGGCTCCCAAGCCCACTTCAGGGCATTTCAGGGTGGGTTGATGGATATGTTATCACAGGACATTAGACTTCTTAATAAGAAACCATAGTGGTGGATAAACAATGTTTCCTACACTGCTTTTAAAATTCCTATCAATGAATCTTAGGAATGTAAACATCAGTTTCAGGCAGCACTGTCTGTAGCGCTGTCCTCCCGTTGTTCATTGATTTGCTGGAGTGGGCCCAGTAAGATCTCCATTGTGAGACTTGTTGTTACTGTGTTTGGCATATTGAATATGTCTTGGGTAGCTTGCCAGGCTTTGCCATGCAGGCGAGATACTCTCTGTAGCTTGCTGTGCTCTCCGAGAGGGGTGGAGGAATTGAACCTGGGTCGGCCTGTGCAAGGCAAACGCCCTACCCGCTGTGCTATTGTTTCAGGCAGATTCAACTATTTGTGGTGTGATTTAGGAAGTGTTCTTTCTCTGAACCTCGGTTTCTATATCTGTCAAAGGGGGTCATTAGTAATGTCCAGCAGGATCAGGACTAGAGTAATGTCACTGAGATGCCTGCCCACCCTCGATAGTCTTGGGAGAATTTGACAGGGTGATATGTGGAAAAAACATTTTGTCTCAGGATGACAAATACACTGAAAGGGCAGTTGTGGGTATCACTCTCTCCTTCAGAGGAATCACCACCATGCCAGGAAGCAGGCAGATGCCTGAACAGAGCCTCCTCACTCAGACTGAGACGCTGCAGGAAGATTGCAGGGTGCTAGAACATCAGCTGGTCTCGGATTGGGGGCCTCTTTTCAACCAGAAAAGCAGAACTGTGTTCGTTCTGGTCCTGGGTCAGTTGCCTACAGATTCATTGCTACCTTACCAAACTGCATGCTTCTGACACGTCCCTGATGTTAATCATCTGATTCCCCACTCTTCCAGCAACTTCTAAATGACCTTTTACAACTAAGACAAGAGGCAAAAATCAAGCTCTGCAGTCATTACTCCCAAATGTCAAAATTCCACAGCGAGGCGAGGCCTTAGCAGACTTAAGCTCCTTGCATGTCCTAGTAGAAGAGGCCCCAGTAGTGCAATTTCCCAGCTTTTTTGTGGGGTGTGGGGTACTATAGCACCTCCCAGCAGGCTTCATCTACCTCCGCTATCTCCAGACTTCTTTATCTGGAGTATATTGTTGAACCTCTCTGGATTTTAGCTTCCACATCTGTAAAGTCTGTAAAGAAAACACATTCAAAATGCCTACATCATGGAGCTCTTATAATAATAGTTCTGTAAAATAAAATATATACGTGAATATATATGTGAGTATGTATATATGTGTGTATGTATATATATGTATGTGTGTATATACACATATACATTCCAAGCATACACAAGTTGCTTGGAATGGACATTGGTGTATAAAATCTACTGTGAACTAGTTAGATTTTAT